CGTCAGGTGTCCAGAAAAATGAATGATAATGTTGCTCTGTAACTGTTAGATGAGTAAAAAAAAGCAACTGTTTAACAAGGTGATAAAGTGTTGTGTTTGCTTGTTTCTATACTGCAACACCCAAGAAGCCAAAAACGTATTAAATAGCTATTGCTGACTGCACCGACTGGGTCCTGAATCGGCTGCATCACTTTCCCACTAAATGATGCAACTGAAAGTACTTGAAAACTTGTTAGTAAGTGAGCCGAAAAAGTCTAAATTTAGCTAAAAGTAATGGCTGCTTGCCCTAAATTGTGGAAGTTTGCCACTGACAATTAGATCTTCCCCCTCCATTGATACCTTTAAACACCCATTGCTCTTTTTATTAGCCTCTTAATTATAATTACTATAAAGACATCACTGACCACACTCTGTTTGTGCTTAGAGTACTTATGTCCCCTTTTTATTTCTGTGTTTTTATTAATTTTTTTATTCTTCTGTTTTATTTGATCTCTTTGTAAAGCAGTTTGATCAGTGGTGTTTTTAATGTGCTCGATACATCCAGCTTAAGCCAGAAGTGACTGAACCTACTGTGGAAAATAAAATAAAAAAAGACCAAGCCTTAACGTATACAATGGCTGTATCTCCATATGGTCTGGCTCAGTTGATTGGGGTCAAGAGATCCCATGTCACACAAACACACACACACACACACACACACACACATAGACGTATGCACATACAAATGCGTCCCTTTCTGGTTCTGGTTCTGGTGTTAATTAGAGTTCAAATGAAGGCAGCTGTACTCCACCTCATTCTTGGGGTCAATTAGCTGTGACGGCAAGAGCTACACAATCCTAAGACCCAATTAATGAGAGGATTTACTTATTATCACACCGACTAGATATAATTACATTGAAACATTTAGTGTTATGGTTAAGCGCTGGATGGCAGATGCTACGACTTCCTATAGCTCTTCATCATAAAGTTTTTTCGTTGGTACTTTATTTATACTTTAGTCATTGTTATTTACAGTGTGTAGGATTTAGTGGCATCTACCGGTAAAGTTGCAGGTCACAACACCCTCACCTCACCCTCTGGTTCCAAGTGTGTAGGAGAAACTACGGTCGTATGAAACTCATAAAAAAGATGTGGTTCAAGATGGAGGAACCACTCCCTCAGGAAATAAAACAGGTAATTCTAAGGTAATGAAAACACAACAATTCTTATTTTTCAAGTGATTATAAACTGAAACACTTATATACTATAAAGATGGATAGACAGATATACTCTTGCTTTAGTCTTTGCAGATATCGACTCCTGCAGGAAATCCAAAAGTGCTGACAAGGACTTTACCACCAGCTTCCCATCGGAGCAGATAAATCTCCAGTATGTGTAATCAAAAGGAAGAACAGGAGGGAAACACCAACCACCACACTGTCCACAAGGTACAAGGCCTAATCAATCTTGTAGGTTCGCAAGTTCACATGTTAGCTGTCGAGCCGCTGGACGAGTTGAAGAATAGATGAGAGAAGCACCTCAGGGAGACCAAAACTGGCAGCCGAACAATACAGCACTTCATCATCACACATATCAAGAGATTAAATTACACACACTCGATCCATCGGTGATTCATTCTCTCACTAGAAACTGTGAATTTGGACTTTTGGGATTTGATGATTGACTGTCTCTGTGAAAAATCTAGAAACTATATTTCCATCCCTCTGTAAGGTCTCCTGGGAGAGATGTGGCCAAAGATTCTGTTTCAAAATTCAAACATGTGAAACGGTTTCAGCACTGAAAGGAAATTAGCTTTCATCTAAACATGAAAGAAAACACAGGAATAACCAGCAGCCAGCTGATTACAGACCCTCATGTGTTGCTCTGTATCCCGTGACCTCACAGTTTCTGGAAACTCTTTATAATCCAGTATTCGTAATACTCAAGATACTGTTCCTTCGTGTTTGGTCTTAATCTGTTTCGCAGGGTTTTGGTGAACATATTTCATATTTGCCATTTTGTCCGCAGAGAGAAAAGGTTAGCTGTGATCCAGACAGAAACAGAACCCTGCTAATTAAAGCTGGAAACAGTCATCAGCAGCACACTCCCCTTGTAGCACCAACACCCTGCTTCACACACATCACGCTTCAGACATGCATGATACAGCCCTGATATGCCATCCCTTTAAAGCTACCACAGTTCAGGCTGCACAGGAGATGTTGCTAATAATAGAGATATCTAATCAATGAAGACACACACTCACACGCTAACCTTGGGTCGACTTTACGAGTCTGCCACGCAATCTGCCTGCAATACTTGACAAAAAACCATCAACAACACTCCTCTGCAGGGTGCTGACTCTGTGCAGGAGTGTGTGGATGATATATGAGCGTGTCCTCCGTCCAGTAACGCGAATTGAAGCGAAAGATACCTGGAAGAGCGTAAGAGTTGGGAAGGAGAGGAGGAGACCTCTATTTTTGGAGACGGTATTCTCATGGTGTCCCAGGGGAGAGGGCCGCTGTGGGCTCCCCTCCTCAGATGGCAGCGGCGGAGAAACCTGCAAGAGACAAGCAGCAGAGGATGTCAGTCGCAGACGAGTAAACATAAGGATTCATATTCTGGGGCCTTGCAGCTGCAATACATAATATACAATACAGAGAACCACTGGTTTTGGGAATGTGCTGAGTTGCTGTCTCACTCCATACTTCCTTTTGCCCTGAAAACTGAGTGACCTGCATTGATTTACAAACGCCTGCTGTAGAGCATCATGGGACTAAATGTAAACCACAAAAGAAAAAAACAGAAGAAGAACAAGAAGCCAGCCCATTTCTCTAACATCTAGGCCTTTTCTGTTGCTGTGACAACAACAAGGACAGAGGAGGCAACCTTGGACGCCGGACAGCTTTGTGTCGATACAACACTGGCTTCCTCACAAAGACTGTCAGCTTTACAGCACCGACTCACAACTCGCAGCAAATCCGTCTGCTGGGAACAGATCTGAAATATCTGTGGTCCAGCTGTTCAAATCCAGAATCATAATTTGATTATTAGAAAGAGTGAACTCCTGTATAAAGCCTGTATAAAGGCACTCAGACCACCATAGTTGTTAATGGCTGACAGCAAATATTTCTCTGGTGGTGGTAAAATGATCTAATTAATGGATGTAATTGAGATCTAACCGCTTCTAAAATGCCACAGTGGAGTTTAGAGTGGACAGATGAAGATAAGTTCAAAAAGTGTAGGTGAGGTTAAACTGAGCAAAAATACATTTACCTGCCTGTTACTGCTGAGAAGGTCACCCAACTTTTAAGATATTAAAATTAAAATTGGATTTATCATCTTTGATTTATTGTTAAGTGTTCAGTTTCTGTAAATTCATGAAGTTCTAAATGTTGTAGGAAAGCTTTCACACTGCCAGGATAAATATTTGGGGAACTCAATCATTTCTTTTTAATTTAAAACGTTTTCCTATTAAATGACTAGGAGTTCTGTAATCAGCCTTTAAAACACCACAATGTGTATGTTTTTAATCGTAAAATATAAACTGTCATGAATATGATGACACAACATCAGTGTCTTCAATGGTTGTTAAAACCATGATTATCAAAATTACATTAATTAATTGCAGCCATCAACACAGGTCATTTGGACAGGTTTCATTGGCTTACCATTTGTATTTATGATACTGATTAT